ATAATCACACTATTTTCTTTTTTATTTTCAATAAATATTATTTAATATATTAATTAATATTTAATATTAATTACTCCAATATTAATTTTTATATACTACATTTATTTAATCAAAAAAAATTCTAAAAATAATTTTTCAAATATAATATCTTATTCATAATTTGTCATGTGCATTGAGGTGGAAGTACTAGTTAGTTTATAAAGTAAGTGAATTTTTTTATAATGGAAAATTATTAAAATTAATTGAATAGTAATCAGTATTATTATATTATTTTTTATAAATTAATTAGAAAATGGGTTTTTCAAAACGTGGATTAATACTATTTAACCTTTTACTTAACTTTAATTTAATTTAATAAATGAAAACATGAAGAAAAAAAGAGGTTAAATTAAAGAGATATCTAACCCACTACAAACGTGTGGGAATATGTTTCAATGCATTTTTTACTATAATGGAGTTAATAGATTAAATTTAAAAAATCATTACTTTAATTAATAAGATTAGTAGAATTTATGGAAGTTGTGCTGGATTGGGTCCGCCTTGACCCAAAATGTAGATAAAGGCTCAAAGATCACGTTAAAAAGTGCGACAAGTGCCATAAGCACTCCGACATGCATCTCGCTCCCCCCCACGAACTGAACATACTGTCATCCCCGTGGCCATTTTCCTGGCGGGGGATGGATATCCTCGGGCCGTTCGTACAAGGGACATACCAAAATAAGTTTCCCATCGTGGTCGTGGATTACTTCACGAAATGGATAGAGACCGAGGCTCTTGCGAAGATCACCTCGCACAACATCCTCTGTTTCTACAAAAGAAACATCCTCGCCAGATTCGGGATCCCGAAGGCGCTAGTCACACACAACGACACCCAATTCACCGACCATGGATTTCGAAACTTCGTCGCCAAGCTCGGAACCAAACAACATTTCACCTCGGTTGAACACCCCCAAACCAACGGGCAAGCCGAGGCCGCCAACAGGGTCATCCTACGAGGATTCAAACGCCGGCTCGGCGAAGCAAAAGGAGGGTGGGTCGAGGAGCTGCACAGCGTCTTATGGGCTTATCGCACCACGCCCCATTCAACAACGGGCGAAACCCCTTTTCGACTAACATACGGCACCGAGGCCGTCATCCCCGTAGAGATCAGGGAACCCTCCAGACGGACAGAAATGCCTCTCGACGAGGAAATGAACGAAGAAGCACTTAGGGACGAACTCGACATGGTCGAGGAAATTCGATCGGGGGCAGCCCTGCGCGAGGCTGCTCTAAAACAACGAGTAGCCCTGCGTCATGACGACAAGGTCATCAGACGCGAGTTCCAGATCGGCAACCTGGTATTACGAAGAAACCATAAAGACTCCCGCGAAGGGAAATTGGCCGCGAACTGGGAAGGACCCTATCGCCTTCACGGCGCCACAGGCACCAGGGCATATTACCTCGAGCTACTAAACGGAGAACTGTTACCACGACCCTGGAACGCTGCTAAGCTAAAACAGTACTATAGCTAAAGCCCTCAACCACCGTGGACTTTCGTTGTCGAACATCCACCTTTAGTCAACAAAGGGAAATGTCTCGACCACGTAGACGGGTCGAGGTACGGACCCGATCTACATCCAAAAGACACACCGTCGTTCAGCCAACGAGTCAAACGACAATGCCCGACAGGGACACCTCGATCGAGCTCTACTGTTGAATGTACCCACATGGCAGAACACCCAGCTCGCGATGGGCAGTTCACGCCGCGGGCATAGGACCTTGATCTAGGTCATACGCTCGACATGCGGGCTCCACTCCGCACAACCGACGCATTTCGAAGTACGTCGAACCATCAAATGGGTCGAAAGGATATATCCGCTCGAGGACATAACTTAAACAAAATATTCATCACAAAGTAACAGTCGAACATTAGCCTAGACACGAGCAAGTTAAGGCGAAATAAACATCCATTAAGAAAAGTTTATGAACAAGACAAGTTAATGATGAACCGACAGACAAAAGCCCGTTTATTTCACGAGCAAAGCGCTACAAGGGCCCGAGAGTAGATACCAGCAGATAGAAAAAGTAGCTTTAGCCCTCGTCAATGCGGCGAGGAGACTCAGGCACTATTTCCTGGCTCACATGATCATAGTACAAACCGACCAACCGGTGAAACAGCTCTTAGGTCGACCCGACATGGCGGGTCGAATGTTGAAGTGGTCCTTGGAGCTCTGAGTTCGACATTCAATACGAGAGCAGGAAATCCCTAAAGGCATAAGCCTTGGCTGACTTTGTTGCAGAGATGACAGCTCACAACCCCCCCGTAGGGAAAGAGCACAAGTGGACCATCTTCGTCGGAGCCTCCAGCTCATCCGGAAGCGGCGCAGGGATCCTCCTGGAAAACAAGGAGGGCGTGGTGATCGAGCACTCGTTAACCCTCTCCTTCCCAACTTCGAACAACCAAGCAGAATACGAAGCCCTGCTCGTGGAACTGTGGCTAGCCGAGGACCTAGGGCACGTGAAGTACAAATTTTCACAGACTCTCAGCTCGTTGCTTCCCAAGTCCAGGGGAGTTACCAGGCTAAAAACGACAGCCTCATTGAATACCTAAACTTAGTCAGAGAACACATGAGGAAGTTCGACCGAGCAGAAATACCACACGTCCCGCGCGAGCAAAACACAAGGGCCGACGTACTTTCGAAGCTCGCAAGCACAAGAAAGAAGGGCGGGAACAAATCTGTCATACAAGAATCCCTATCGCGCCCGAGCATCGAAAGAACCCCGACCCCCATCGAGGTACACGCCATCGGAGACGCTTCATGCTGGATGACCCCGATGTACAACTTTCTGACAAAGGGCGAGCTCCCTTTGGACCGGACAAAAGCGACCACAACCCAACGACGAGCGTGCTCCTACGTGGTACTCGAGCACAAGCTGTACCGCAGGGGATTTTCCATTCCCCTCCTGAAGTGCATCGACGAATCCTCAGTCCCCGAGGTATTACGGGAAATACACGAAGGGTTTAAAGCCCAGCACATGGGCGGTAAGTCCCTGGCGAGGAAAGCTCTACGAGTGGGGTACTATTGGCGACAATGCAGTAGGACGCCAAAGATCACGTTAAGAAGTGCGACAAGTGCCAGAAGCACTCCGACATGCATCTCGCTCCCCCCACGAGCTGAACATACTGTCATCCCCGTGGCCATTTGCCTGGTCGGGGATGGATATCCTCGGGCCGTTCGTACAAGGGACATACCAAAATAAGTTCCTCATCGTGGCCGTGGATTACTTCACGAAATGGATAGAGGCCGAGGCTCTTGCGAAGATCACCTCGCACAACATCCTCCGTTTCTATAAAAGAAACATCCTCGCCAGATTTGGGATCCCGAAGGCGCTAGTCACAGACAACGGCACCCAATTCACCGACCATGGATTCCGAAACTTCGTCACCAAGCTCGGAACCAAACAACATTTCACCTCGGTTGAACATCCCCAAACCAACGGGCAAGCCGAGGCCGCCAACAGGGTCATCCTGCGAGGACTCAAACGCCGGCTCGGCGAAGCAAAAGGAGGGTGGGTCGAGGAGCTGCACAATGTCTTATGGGCTTATCGCACCACGCCTCATTCAACAACGGGCGAAACCCCTTTTCGACTAACATACGGCACATAGGTCGTCATCCCCGTAGAGATTAGGGAACCCTACAGGCGGACAGAAATGCCTCTCGACGAGGAAATGAACGAAGAAGCACTTAGGGACGAACTCGACATGGTCGAGGAAATTCGATCGGGGGCAGCCCTGCGCGAGGCTACTCTAAAACAACGAGTAGCCCTGCGTCATGACGACAAGGTCATCAGACGTGAGTTCCAGATCGGCAACCTGGTATTACGAAGAAACCAGAAAGACTCCCGCAAAGGGAAATTGGCCGCGAACTGGGAAGGACCCTATCGCGTTCATGGCGCCACAGGCACCGGGGCATATTACCTCGAGCTACTAAACAGAGAACCGTTACCACGACCCTGGAACGCTGCTAAGCTAAAATAGTACTATAGCTAAATCCCTCAACCACCGTGGACTTTCGTTGTCGAACATCCACCTTTAGTCAACAAAGGGAAATGTCTCGACCACGTAGACGGGTCGAGGTACGGACCCGATCTACATCCAAAAGACACACCGTCGTTCAGCCAACGAGTCAAACGACAATGCCCAACAGGGACACCTCGATCGAGCTCCACTGTTGAATGTACTCATATGGCAGAACACCTAGCTCGTGATGGGCAGTTCACGCCGCAAGCATATGACCTTGATCTAGGTCATACGCTCGACATGTGGGCTCCACTCCGCACAACCGACGCATTTCGAAGTACGTCGAACCATCAAAGGGGTCGAAAGGATATCTCCGCTCGAGGACATAACTTAAACAAAATATTCATCACAAAGTAACAGTCAAACATTAACCTAGACACGAGCAAATTAAGGCGAAATAAACATCCATTAAAAAAAGTTTATGAGGGGACCTTGACCTAGCGCTGGGGGCTATAAATACCCTCTGTTTCAAGAGGGTCAGGTATTCATCTATTACACGCCTATATACTTTTTGCCTGCCCATTTTGTCTCTCTTTTTGGCATCGGAGTGTCTTGCAGGTACCCCCATCTCACTCAAATCCAGTTCGAGCCAGCTGTGACGGTCCAAGTCTGATTGGGTAAGATCAGAAGTTATGGTTAATAATAAAAATTAATTAATTAAAAATATTAAAAAATGAAATTATTACATTAATCTTATTTTTTGGCACTAAATTTCTTTTAGGAGATTTAATAACTTTAATTAATAAAAATTTTGACGTTAAAAATTTGTTTAAGAAATTAAACAATTTAAATAAATAATATGGCAAAATTGGAGATTAGATGAACGGAGTGAGAGACAATACGTGGAAGACACAGGACCTGTGGATAATATTAGAAGATATTTATTTATTATTTAAAAAAATCTTATCATCATCATCATCATCTCAGAAGAAGAATCGTAATGGAGTGCAATTTGCAGGCATCCGTTATTCCTCGATGCCTTCCTTCCGCAAACCAAACAGGAAGAAGAAAAACGCTTTTTGTTGTTAATTCAACTCACCAAAACGATACATCAACTTCACCAGATGGAAATGTAGAACGCTCTTCCAAGGAAGTGAATGTTTCTAGACGTCGATGTCTGACTTGTTTGTGTTCAACTCCTTTTTTCATTTCATCCAACGCAACCGCTCTTGATAAACCTGCTGGCTGTAGAAATTGTGGCGGAAGCGGCAACATCATCTGTGAGTTCTCTCTTACAATCTCTTTCTGTAAGATGAATATCAAACGGCTCATGTTTGTTACATAATTTGTGGTTTAGGTGATATGTGTGGTGGTACAGGAAAATGGAAAGCACTAAACAGGAAGCGAGCACAAGATGTTTATGAGTTTACAGAGTGTCCAAATTGTTACGGTATCCTATCATCCCCACCCACCTTCTACTTTTACTCATCTTTATAGTAAATTGTTTATAATCCATAGGTCGAGGAAAGCTTGTCTGCCCTGTTTGCTTAGGAACTGGTGTGCCAAACAATAAAGGTCTTCTCAGAAGGCCCGATGCAAAGAAACTGCTTGATAAGATGTATAATGGACGGCTACTTCCCAACTCTTAGAAGGTCAAATTTCTTGAATATTAATCTTCTGTTGCTGCTGTTATGTTCATTCTATTACATCCTTTTCAGTCATTCTTGTCAGCATAATGCTCTTTTCTGGCACAATGACAATTTTCTATACCACTCAACTAAGCCGGTGACTGCAATGTTAATCAGCTTCTACCATACAGAACATGCCAGTGGCAGAAAGTTTTGCTCATATTTTTGGTCTGGATTCATTCCAGAACTCTAATGAATTTCAATATTCAATGCTAGGATTGCTGCCATATTTATGCAGACTAGAATGTCTTGTATAGTGGAAACATTGAGCAAACACTTCTAGCAAGTATTGCTATTTAATATAGTTACCAAGTAAATATGCAAATGTTCATGCAACTTGTTTCTATCTAGGACATGTGTGATTATCCGATTTGAGCTATTTATGAAATTGATTTGTTTTAAAAATAGGACACTAGGTCAAATATGTGGTGCCTTATTTGCTCACTAACTATATTATTTGGACACAATTGGATATAATAATTTTCAAACAAAAAGTTAGATAGATAATGTAGTTGAAATACATGATTATTGAAAGATATAATAAGTGTTGTAACTCGTGAACTATATGATAAAAATAATTATTCACAAATTTAGACATCATTAAACATGATTAAAACACAGTTCACAATGTTTGAAAATGGAGTTGGGTGTATCATGTTTTTCATTGTTTGTTAGTGGATGATTGATGTAGAAATATGTTCTAAAACTTCAATGATAATTTTAAGAAAGTATACACACGGAAAAGGGGCGTTATGTTGCAGGGAATAATTCTCTTGTAACTGAATTGAGCAAATGCACATGACTACTACTAGTGGCAGATGAGAGAAAACAAATCTGAGTATTAGATACCAAAGGAATAATCAGTTAGGATCATGCATGAATTATGGGATCGTCCCTTAAGGAGAGAATAAGTCTCTCGAAGAGCTTAGCTTTATTTTCTGCATTTTCTTTTCACTATTGCATCAGTTAGATCCCATTTGAATTCTAGCTTGTACTTTCGTTCTCCCTGTTTCCATTAAACCAAATACAAATCCCATATTTCTTTACTATATTTGCCCTAATTGTTAAATTGAACCTATCAATTTGGTATATATAGCCTCGGTTGTGTTTACATAGTGAATGGTCATTACACAGAGCATTGTGGAAAAGAGAGGATGAACAACTTCAAAGTAACGATGGAGTAGATTCGTCAGCTGGTGGTGGAGCAACAATCGAGACAGTAAGTCACGATGGATCAGATTCGACCGTTGATTCAAGAGCAACCAGCTCAAAATCACCTAAGAAATAGACGATCGCGTGTTCGAGGTTACGATGATGAGGAGGAGGAAGAAGGAAACTACCAGAGTACGCTTTTTGCGAGAGTCACGACTACGCCATCTCCGTCATGGGGGTAGAACCGGTCCCAAATTCTTCGGAAGTAGGCGGAGGTTGGAGATTCCATTATTCAAAGGAGAAGATGTGTATGGTTGGTTGGTGTGTATTGAATGGTATTTCCACCTGAATGGGGTGCGAGTATAAGACAAAATTGATGTTGTGGTGTTGGCGATGAAGGATAAGGCGTTGAACTGGTATCGGTAGTGGGAAGAACAAGCACCATTGAGAACGTGGGATGAATTTAAGTTGGCCATCATGTGACATTTTCAACCAAGGCTATTACATAATTCGATGGGATCGTTACTGAAATTCTGGTATTCAGATCACAAATGTCCTAAGAGATGTCGAGACACCGATCTCTAAACAACAACACATTGAACAATATAAAACAATGCAGAAAGTAAACAACACACAAAATTATTAACCTAATTCAGTGTACAACAACACCTACTCTGGGAGCTACCAAGCCAAGAACGAAATTAACTAGATAGTATCAATTTGAAGCTAAACTCCCCTGTTTACAACTTATCGCTTAATCACTATCCGTGCTTAACTTCTACCTAAGACTCACATAGGTATGAGACCCTTCTCAAATCCCTTTCGATCACAACAGTGACCGAACAACTCTAAACAATTTAGAATACTTTTAAAAGACACACTTCAATGATACAAAACCATTCAATGCTTAAAAGCTTATGAATGACTTGCATAACTTACAACTCAAAAACACTCATACTCTTGTATCAAGATGATATTCGAGAGGCTCACTAATAAAACAAACAAACCCTAACAAAAATACACTTAAGTTCCACACTAAAACTAGGTTTGTGATAATCTATCTAAAGCCATCCTCAGGATTGGATTGGGCTTCACCAGCGCAGGAAATCAGCTCCTACAAATCAGCAAAAACTTATGCACAAAAATAGGACTTCAATCATTAGTTTCCTAAATTATCTCCATAATTAGAAACTAAGAATATTCCTTGAATTGAGCTTGGATCTCTTAATCCTTAAACTGAGTGCTACATAGGAAATATTCCCAGAATATTTTACATCTGTAAAATCAAAACGGATCCAACAGTCCAGCTGTACACAGGCGCGATGTCGAATGATTCTGCATAGGACATCTTGTTCGACATGTTTATCCAATTGCTAGAACATTTTCTTAAACATGTTTATGCTAAGTTAGTTTTACCAAATATAATGTCAATCAAAAAATCAGAGAATTGTCAATCTCCCCTCTTGACTTATTTTGGCTAAAACAACTTAATACTCCTTGCAAACATAAACATCAGCAGAATTATCAGAGGCGCAATAGCAGAAGTCTAGACAACAAAGATAAGAGCAGCAATAGTGGAAGTTACCCATCACAACAAGAGAAAAAACCTCAACATGTCCACACATCATGTCTGACATTTCTTTAAGCCAGTCCAGAATAGAGCAGGAACTCCCCCTCAATACCTGCTAAGTAACATCGAAGAATATAAGATTCTCCCCCCATCAATAGAAGCAATAACCATCACACATATTACTCCCTCCTTTTAACCATAATATGGAAAAAACACATTTAGCACCTAATCAAATCCTGGGCACTTAACCCTTATAAAATCATAAAGCAGTAAAAGTAAGTACACAAAAAGGAATCACATAATCCATAATATGCATCATACTCGTCTCCTTCTTCATCAACATTAGCACCAGCAGATGCAAAAATTTCACTACCAGCAACATTATTATTACTTTTGTCAACAAGGTCTTCACCTGGGAAGATGTCACAAAAAATTCTGGAACATGTGTTCCACCAACCAATCTATACTGTAAAGATAAAGGAGAATCCCTTTTCTTGACACTATCCATAGCCAATAAAATACCAAGATGCATGATTTTATTGACCTATCAGAACAACAATAATTGCTATAAATCCTCGTATATACAGATCCCAAGTCTCCTTCGCAAGTTTTCAAACTGAACTACATCAAGAGCTTTGATAAAAATATCTGTAAGCTGATTTTCAGTGCTAACATGCTTAAGAGTTACAACTGTGTCTTCAACAAGCTCTTTAATAAAATGGTGCATGATATCAATGTGCTTAGTCCAACTATGCTGAATAGGATTTTTAGAAATATTAATAGCACTCAAGTTGTCACAAAATAATGTCATAATATCTTGTGTGACATTATATTCAGATAACATATGTTTCATCCATACAAGTTGAGAGCAACTACTTCATGCAGCAATGTACTCAACTTCAGCAGTAGATAGAGATACACAACTTTGTTTCTTGCTGAACCACAGGATCAAATTGTTTCCCACGAAGAAACATCCACCAGAGTTACTTTTCCTATCATGAGCACTCCCCGCCCAATCGACATCACAATATCCCACAAGAACTGAATTTGAGTCATGAGAATATAGTATTTCATACTCACATGTGTCATTCACATACTTCAGAATTCTCTTGACTTGATTGATGTGGATTACTTTGGGTTCGGCTTGATATCTAGCACAAACTCCAATAACAAAAGCTATATATGGCCTACTTGTTGTAAGATACATAAGGCTACCAATCATGCTTTTATATAAACTCTGATCAACACTCACTCCCTTTTCATCTTTGGATAACTTTAAGTGTGTAGTAGCAGAAGTTCATTTATGGGTGGCATTCTCCAATCCAAATTTCTTCGCTATATTCTTGGCATATTTGCTTTGATAAAGGAAAATGAAGTCTTTCATCTGCTTGACTTGCATCCCCAGAAAGAATGTTAACTCACCCACCAAACTCATCTCAAACTCATATTGCACTTGTTTAACGAATTGTTGGACCATTTCATCTGACATCCCTCCAAACACAATATCATCCACATAAATCTGAGCTATCATAATTTTTAATCTTTCTCCTTTACAAAGAGAGTCTTGTTAATTCCTTCCTTTCTATATCCATGGTTAATTAGAAACTCAATTAGCCTCTCATACCAAGCTCTTGGAGCCTATTTTAAACCATACAACTCCTTTTTTAACTTGAACACATGATTTGGGAAAGAAGGATCAACAAATCCTTTTGAATGTTTAACATATACTTCTTCATACAAATAGCCATTTAAAAGGGCACTCTTAACATCCATCTGGAATAACTTGAACTTTAAGAGGCATGCCACTCCAAGTAGTAGTATGATAGATTCCAAACGAGATACATGAGCAAATGTTTCATCAAAGTCCACTCCTTCAATTTGAGTATACCCTCGAGCAACAAGTCTGACCTTGTTTCTGGTGACAACCCCTTGTTCATCTGACTTGTTCTTATACATCTATTTAGTAGCAATCACATTCACTCCTTCAGGTATTGGTACTAAGTCTCAAACTTCATTTCTCTTTAATTGACAAAGTTCATCTTGCATAGCATGAATCCAGAATTCATCAGTCAAAGCCTTTTTGACATTCTTTGGTTCAAATTTTGAAACAAAGCAAGAATTTGATACAACTTTCCTTGACCTGGTTTTGACTCCTTGTTATACCTCAATGTTTGCCTCTAAGATCCCTCATCATCTCATATTATCAATACATCAAGATCACACATTAGGGTTAGTTCTC